CTCGGCTCCATTTACCTGTTGGCCCATACTCGACGCATTGTCATGGCTTCCTCGTCTCCTACGACGTCAATTCCGATCCAAGAACCAGTGTTTCTTCAATTTCTTCATGATGTTCACCATGCTTACCTTCTACTACATCGAGCAATGGCGCTACTACCACCCACTCTCATTCCCAACATTGAACCTACTCCTCTTCCCAGTACAGACGTATGGAATCAACCTGATGGCCTACGACCACACTATTCGGACCAGACCAATGCCTTCATTGACAATGCCCCCATCCCATCGCCGGATCTGGAAGAAGAAGAGACACTTATGGATGAACTGGTGGAAACCCATCTTCCCGAGCCGCACCAACATGTTGCTGCTCCGCCTCCTGATGTTTTACCTGCACCTTCGAAGCTTTCTACTAGAACACCATCACCGCCAAGTCGCAAACAGAAAGCCAAATCTGCTCCAAAGGCTCCTGCCAAGCGTCGTCGCCGCCGTGACCAATCCCGATCCCGCTCCTCGAGCCCATTATCACTCTGGACCTCTGAAGACAAACAGAAACTACGCACTCTGAAGGTTGACGAAAAATCTCGATTTTCATGGAAGGTGATCTCGACCAAGATGGGCAAGTCTGAAGAAGATGTTCGCTCTATGTGGAATAAGATCAAAGACCAACTTGGCTGACCATTGACATATGCGAATCACAAGGAAAAGGTACGTTGCGGTACGGTATTACTGTTTCACCAACCCGTTGGCCTTCATTTTGGGAATTTTCTTCTTGTTTATCTTCAGAACCATGGATGCTGTTGTCCCATTGAATTCTGACACGTCGTATCACACAACCCGCCAGCCATTTATTATGTCTCTCCGCGTTCACCTGGACCGCTATTGCCAACAGCGAGCTATGTCCCACGAGAGGATCTCACCTACACGACGCTCACGCTCTCCAACCAGGACGTCATCTTCCGCTATGGGCTCTACGTCATTCCGGCACCCACCCAACCGGTCTTCGCCTCCGACACCTCACCGACCGGTTATTTTCCAGTTGGACCTGACGCCGATGCAACAACTGGCCGTACGCAACCCTTATTACAACATCTTGACCCCCAATGTCGCGGGCAACCTTCCTACGGCCACCTATGACAGCTTGTTCCAGACGTTCAAGGTCATCTACCCGGACTATGCTCGCAGTCATTTCGTTTCAGACCTCAAAACCGTAGTCACCGACACACTGCTACAACGCTGGTCCATACACCTACCAGCGTCGGAGTTCTACATGATGATTGACACCGATCAAGGAGCTCAGATGCTTGACGACCTTCCTCATTCTCTTCTGGATGTTTTGAATTGGTTCTACCCGAGATGGAAAACTCATCAACATCTCGACGCCTTCACGACCCGCGAGTGTTCTCCGTTGCTGCTGACACCACATCCAGATGCACAAGACACGGGCTTTGCTGTACATGTTCAAGTGATTCCCCGTGGACATCCATTCGTCACGGCCACCCGATACACTAAAGCCGCTGAGTGATTAGCTGTCTTGATGGATCTTGACACGGCTCACGTCTATGAGGAAAAAGACCAACATTCGTTGTGATGTCCACCACCCCGGTTCTGATTTTCCCTTGTGTCATCCTTTTCTCGTTTTCCAGTGGGTGATATTCGTTATTTATTCCTTCATCATTGACCTTCCCCACGGCCTTTTGGCTTCAGTTTAGTATTTCCCGCTATCATATTCTTTTGATCGTACATGATGACCTCCAACACGGATGATCCTGCTCGATTGGTCTCGCACGGTTTACCACCTACATCCATATATGGCCTTGCCTCACACTTGCCACCGGATGATCCTACCTCGGCATCCTATATTCCTCGTGCAGCGAGAATGATTCCGACCTCTACCACTGTCCACTCCGTCTTCATCAAGAAGCTGAGCTATCCTTTGTCTAACCGTTCAGATGAACTTTGGATCGTGGAAAGGACACTTGATGGTCTTGAAACGTGGAAACCAGTGGAAACATTCCTGGAGAACATGCACCTCACCAACGACCAGGCAACCTTGCGCACTACAGCTAACCATTGGCGCAGATACTATGATGTACCAATTCAACCATCATCCTCCTCCCCTACGGCAACTACTGTTCCCGTTTTACCACGCCCTGAACACTCCAACGTCCATGTCTCACAGCCGTACGAAGCGATACCGGACCACCTCCATATTTTACAGTCATGCTGGGGACGCTCCGCCCAACACCATTCTCAAGGAACCACTACCTCTTTATATTGGCCACCTCGGCGGTCTACACCACCGTCTTCCCCACCGGCAACACTACAACGTACTGTATATCTCACTCGCCCCGCTGTCCTTCCTCAACAAGTACATGGTCCGTTGGATGCGAACGATATTGACCCGATGGATATGTCGGATTCAAGTGTGTAATATACCACATTATTTGTCGGCGGAAAAAAGACCTGTGATTCATCGTCTCTTTGTGTGACCATTTACTAGGTACACCGTTTCTCTTTTATTTCTAACACTTTGTGCTTGTTCCTGTGGCTATTCCAACCCATTTTGCAGCTTGGGCTTTGCACTTTATCCTCGATACTTCACATTCGACGCAATGGCTCGTTCTTCTCGACCCAATCCATATCGCGCCACATCTACGATTGAGACACCGCTTGGTACAAGAACCGTTGGGTGGATTGCTGGACATCGAGGCCTCCCTGGTGATGCGAACCCTCCTCCAAACAGACCTGTCCTTATCTTGGTTGACTTCTCTCCCTTACAGGCATTGACTCACCGAAGCGAACCTGACCGTGAACACTACATGGCTCTGGTGAACTCCAATTTTAGACATGTCAGTGGATTTGAACTTGCAGCTTTGTTTACCTGGTCACGTCAGATGGAACCAGTTGAAGCCGGCCTCATCCCAATTGCCGAACTCCGCTTTTGTATCTCCAAAAGATTGAGGTCCCAATGGGACATCCAAATTGATCCCTCGAACCTGGAGTTTCGCTTTTGCGACTTGGACGGTGGTACATTCCAAGTTTCCAATGATATGACGGTCTTGCAGCTTTTGGAGGCATACCGACCTGAGTGGCGACTTCGGCAGTACAATTCCCGCGAATCCTCTTTCCTCATCCCGGGTACCAGACAGCCTTTCGTACTACGCTTGAAATGCTACAAAATTAGCTCCGGTGTGATCCTGCCCTGATGCACTAGCCGGCCAAAAAAGACCATGCTACAGGGTTTTTCAATTCCTCCTTGACACCCCACTAACACAAAGGATTTTTCGATTTCTATTTTATTTGACTTGGAGCTGTGGCTTCTCCGTCGCAACTGACCCACTTGATTGAGGACTGGATTTCACCTTTTTCATTTTTGTGAATATTATCAATTTCGGGATTGGCTTTCTTCTGCAATTCTTGATGCTTCAGCCGTTGTTGCACTATTTCTCGTATTTGTGACAGTTTCACCCATGGAACACAAACGAGACGCGACCGTGGCGGGCTTGTCTTGGCCTGCGAACCCTACTCGTGGACTCGCTCCTACCGACCCAGTTCAAGTACCAGACGCCTCGACTTCTGCACTATGTCACTCAGGAGCTCCCGACACTACGACCAACCCTACTCCGGCACCTTTGGTAACTGACAGTACGGCACCTGCTACGGGTACCCTGGCCCATTCTGATACATATTCAGGACCAGCACCTCCTGGCGTTCCATTTCCGACAGACTCAAGTTCTACACACAACTACTTCCATCGTGCTCAGTTCTCTTCTCGCGTGGTTCACCAGATCCAATTCAAGGTCATTACCCACTCCAACAACACCAGGGAGCTATTCATTGAAGAAATTCCTTTGTTAGGGCATTCCCGATGTCGTGACCCTGAACACTATTTCTATGGTCTCTCCGGCAACTGGGAGTGGTCCCTGCGCACAGCGGACTATTGGCGACATCATTTTGAGATTCCCCTTGTACATGGACACCATCCTTTTCACAATGTGCCCATTGAGACGACATCTCCTGGAGATGAACCAAGGCTGACCACCCGGATCCATGAATTAGCCAAAGATCTATCTGACACCTTGAAGGCTGCTACGGCATCGGGGGAATTCGATCAGACTTGGGCGATGGTTGAACGCATGAGCTTCCACGATGCTATGGAAGTCCTTCTACAAGCTCCGAATTCCTCTTCTGACTGAAGTGACCGCCCTTTTGTACATTAGGTTATTACAGGTTCACTTTCACTGGTGTCTTGCCGATTCCGCCAGCGAAGTTCTTCCAAAAAACCGACCTCGCTACATGCGAGGTGTGTGTGTACCATCTGAACAGATGTAAAACTTCTGATTGGTTTTCACTAATTTGCAGGGGGGTGCAGAGCACAGTGGAGACTGCACCCAACGAAGCTATCCACTTGTGCTGGAAGCAGAGTCTGATCAACTCTGTGTACCTGCAAAATTTGGTTTCAACTGTTGATCAAGCTGTTACACTGCGTTGTTTCGAATCTACACGGTTGCCACAATCTGTATTGCATGCATCAGAACCTTCCTCAGATTTTCGCCGAAACCATATCGCCGACAGTATTATGTTTTTTGACTTATTTTCGCCGAGACCCTGTCGCCGACGAACTATGGGTTATTTTGGGAAACAATCGCCGAAACATTATTTTGGATTTCCACATGCTGGTCAAAACTCTATGGAATCTGGTTATGACTACGTTTGACAATTTCGGATGCCCTACATCGTTTGCGAGAAGTACCTCATGTGGCTCTTTTATTCATCAAATAATCTAGGCTGGTTTGCATGTTTCAGGATTCAGTTCCTGCCGGATCATATAATGATCCATTCTTGTCTAGTGTGTGTGTCAATGTCATCATATTTTGATTATTTTGATTGTATGTTTTTTTGCCTCCCAAAAAATCATCTGGGCCATGTAGCTGATCATGGGTGATCTAAGGTTTCTCAGCCATGGGGCCTAAGGCGCCTAAGGCGCCTAAGGCTTCGGCCTCGGCAAAGGGGAAGAGCTTCTTGAGGAACTCGCGGCTGGGCTTTCCAAAGAGATCCAGGTACTGGGTGAAGAGCTTGTAGACCGTCCTTCTATGTGGACCCGTGGACCCCAAATCGGATGATCTGAACCCGGCAACAAGCACAGGAGTCAGCATGAATCAGGATTGCTATGGGTCCGGAATTGCCGGGAAATCATCCAAGAGTGCTACGAAATCATCCAAAATCAGATGGGTTCAAATTCCATCCTCAAAAAACGTGTGCGTGTGTGTGTGTGTCTGAAAACTTGGGGGGAATCCCCAAAATCCCGTGATTGATCACAATGTTCCCTATGAAAATCACCTTTTTCCAGGTGTTTCATCCCAACAGAACCCCACAGCCCCGTCATGGCCCTGGGCAACCGCGCGTCAGCACCACAGTGCCATCCTCAGAGGGTGGAGCGATGTCTTCCACGGAGACGATCTCATCAGGGTCCAGCTTCATGTGATTGATGAACTTCATGACCTGCTAGGATAAACATGTTGAGTTAATAGGGAAATTTGGGGTTTCAGCATCTCAAACCATCCTAAATTCCATATGTATGGATATCAACCAACGAGGAAGCACTTCAATGGATTGAAAGGAACATGTTCACCGGAAACTATGGTTCTTGCTAGGGCAAAAGAGACAGGGGATTTTGGTGTAAATTTTATCCTTAATCAATTCTGGGGCTCGCAGGGTTACTTACCCTCCACATCCCTCCACTGGCTAATGTTGAGATATGAAATTTACCCACTGAAAGTGGATCATGTTTTAAATGGAAACCATTGTTTTTCCATGTCGTTTTGTTGATTTACTGTGGATGCTATTGGAATTTAACCAACAAAATATACAGGGATTCTACGGGATTCTGGTGTCTCTATCAACTGCATGATCCCCAAGACCTTCACTCTCATGCATTTCCCCCAACATTGAGGAGGTTTAACAGTTTAGCTGGAGAAAAATCGGATGTGAAACTTCAACCGCCCATGACTGGGGGATGTCACGGAGCTAATGGGATTGAACAAGAGCATGGCATGGATCTGTCCAAAATTGGGTTGCAAAAATTCTGACCTGCTTTCGAACCATGATATGGGATGGAATGGAATGGGTTAGCCTATTTTGAGACAAACCCAATTGGATCCCATTGGATCCGACTGAGCACCTTGTCCGCATCGTTGGTGGCGTACACGGACAAGGCCTTGCCCATGGCTCCGTTCACCAAATGCTCCAGGCCCGTTCCGGACACATCCACCTGCGCCGAAGACTGAAACCCCGAAAGATCCGAACACAATGTCAGTTTACGAAACATTCAAATACCTTGCAACACCCAAAACTCAGCAAAAAAAAATATCTTGTGCATTCACTTCTTGAAACGTTTGAATGAAACGTACCCAAGGCTCAAGGGATAGCCTATGCAGGTGCATGCGTACATGTAGTGGCAATTAAAAAATGAATGCAGGGTTCTGGTCTAAAGAATGCGTCACCTTCAGCCACCGCAAGGCTTCTTAGCACAACTGCGCCTCTCCTTACTAAAGTAGTTTACGCTCATTCTGACCGTATCTCATATATACATACATACATACATACATACATACATCCATCCATCCATCCATCCATCCATCCATACATACATCCATCCATCCATCCATCCATCCATACATACATACATAATCATACATACATACATACATAATCATACATACATACATAACATTACATTGCATTACATTACATTACATAACATAACATAACATTAACATTACATTACATTACATTACATTACATTACATTGCCTTACATTACATAACATACATACATACATACATATATATTTGTGACACGGCTTACAGGCAACTTCTATAAAACGATAGAAAAATAAATTGAACTAAAAAAAGCGAAAACCAATCCAAAAAAAAAACAAAACCCAATCCAAACCTCAATTAGAAAAAATCAAAAAAAATGAAAAAAAAAAACTCCAATCCAAACCTCAATTAGAAAAAAGCAAAAAAAAAAAAAAAAGCAAAACCAAAAGCAAAAAAAAAAAAAAAATGCAAAAAAAAAAATGCAAACTATTTGTGTTCACGGTTTTTCGTTTTTTTTTCGTTTTTTTTTCGCTTTGTTTTCGTTTTTTTTTCGGTTTTTTTCGTTTTTTTTTTCGCTTTTTTCCACGAGTTTCTTACATTTTCGAAGGTCCCGGTCATCAGGTCACCTGAGAAAGAAAAAAAACGAAAAAAACATGCGAAAACAAAGGCGGAAAAAAAAACAAAAACAAAGCAAAAAAAAACAAAAACTAAGCAAAAAAAAACGAAAAAAAAGTGAAAACAAATAGTTTGCTTTTTTTTGCTTTTGGTTTTGCTTTTTTTTTGTTTTTTTTTTGCTTTTTGCTAATTGAGGTTTGGATTGGAGTTTGCTTTTTTTTTGCATTTTTTTTGTTTTTTTCTAATTGGGGTTTGGATTGGGTTTTGCTTTTTTTTTGGATTAGTTTTCGCTTTTTTTATTTGTTTAAACTCTTTAGAAGTAGGCTGAAGGCATTTCACAAATATATATATATTGCGTATGTATGTATGCACAAATACCGCGCATCAGCCAAACAACTCGGGCGAAGTGGCGATCCCTACTGGTTCAAAAATCACCTACTGGTACTAACAGAAATTGGTGATGCACTTGGCAATTGCTGCTCAGTTCCCTGACCCCTTGGGGGAGGAAAGAAAAGGAGCAATATGCCAAGAAAGCAAAACAGAAAAGAGTGTAGGCACAGAGCGTCCAGCAGGAGGCAAGGCGACAAATGATGGCACTGTGCCAAAAGTCAGGGGCCAAGCTCGGAAAATAACCTGTGGACCAGCAATTGCACTAGAAAGCACGAAAAAGGCCACAGCGTGCACTGAGAACGCAAAAGGTGAAAAAGAAAATCAACCCCCGGCTCTCACAAGACTCACAAGTCAATGGCCACGGGCAAGAAAGGGCAACCTTTTCCAAACCTTCTCACAGCGGTCACAGCGCCTCAATGTGAAAGCAAGTTCTGTCATAGTTCTCAGGGGTCAGCAGTTTCCAGTCCTCCCCAGAGCAACGGGACATCACCCCACTCCAATAGTTGCACTTTAACATTACCGGCATGATACCGGCATGTGTGTTGGATTTAAATTTCACCTTCATTGGTTCAGCTTCCAATGTTTGTACATATACACACCGCAATTTGGAAAGGTCCTCTTCCGCATTACACGAACAAGTCTTGGGGTACCCAGCAGTGTTCGGACCCGGGACCAATGCTTACCAGTCAATCCCACAGAAAGGATAGTGAGACCGGTGTTGGATTTCTGTATTTTCAGGGTGTGGATCATTTGTTTTTAAACATGGCAAACCCTACTACAACAAAAAAAACACCTCATTTCACAATACCATATAGGTGGTGTCTACGTTTAAAAAAATGTGTTCAAATGCTACATATTGGGTTTGCCAAAATCCCGCGCAATCTTTGAAACTACCCGCAGTATTGACCATCATTCCCATCCAGTCTGGGTTTGGCACCTCAAAACCCGAAATCCAGCGAGCAATTCCCGCATAAGAATATTGCCATAAGAATGGGTAGTCCCATTCAAGTTCTATATCCCCATTGTGGTTGGTCAAAAATCTCAACTATTTCGTTGGTCAGTTGTGGGTGTTTACGTCATTCTTAACCTCCTTATGGTTCGTCGCAAATGTTGTATTGCCACTATGGGGCTGGTGGGCACCAATTGCGTGGATGCTATAGTTCCTTCAAAACAGGAACTAAACCATTCCGGGACCACAAAATAATCATCCCAGTCATAGGGGTATACCGTCTTATCCCTGATACTAAAAGCATGTAAAATCCAAATTGGTGATTTTAAATATTTTAATGTATGGTTTCCCAAATTCGTAAACTTACCAATTCATCCACTTTTTGGGGGCGGGGAAACCCACTCCCGTGCTGTCCGTCACCCGAATGAGTTCCCCTTGCGACACGTCTGGCCGCGCACGGAGCTGAGCCTCCGGGGTTGCGAGAACTCGGTTATTCAAACGGGAAGCCACAAAGCTGGTTTGACATCGTGTTCTTTGTTTAATTTGGTGTAATGGTTTAATAATGTTTAATAGGGATTTATGGTTTGATCACATGGTCCCGGAAATTCAACATCCTTGTTTTAATTTTTTGGTAATTAATTCTAGACTTGAAGACCCCCAGAATGTAAAATTCGGCAAACGGCGTATGGTACGAGATTGTATGATTGGGTTGGGTTCATCGAACCGACAGCCAGATCCTAGAATCCCAGGCAACCATTTCAGGGCGCAGGGCACACAACTACAAAAAATCCACGATAACTCGGAACCATACCCTGTCACAAGTCGCGGGAACCCCCTCGGGAGTACCTTGTACTGCGGCTGAAACGCCAAAAGGCGCGACAAATCACCAACCTGATGCTGGGGGTGCCCGGTGATCTGAACTTTTCCAGTGGAAGATCCTGGATTTGATCACGTTTTGCCAATGGGGTGTCCCATGGTGTCCCATTTCCACTCGGTCCGACTCGGCCTTGTTGATGATGTCCTGGCTCACTTTGGACGCTTTCTCTTTCACCGCTGCGTGATGTTTGTAGACCATGGCCACTTTTTGAGCTTCTACCTTGGCCGCGCGTGATTCATGATGGGGTGCCAACTGATTGGAGGAAAATTAAACCGTCAATTTGGATTTGTTTTCAAACCATCGATCTAACATTGATTTGCCTATCTTCAGGTCTCCTATGGAACACCAAGGATCACCATAGATTCAACCATGGATTCACCATAGATTTCCCCTATCCCCTTGTGACTGATCAGAAATCCATTGAAACCGCTGCTGCATCACTAAGGTGACGGCTCCCAGAATGGCTTGGGTCTTTGGCATGGACACCTGAGTCCCGTGGGATTTTCACTTGAAAATGACAATTCAAAGCCGAACTCTGAGGTAGGGATGGATCATCTCTTAAGGATTATACAGTATTGTAAATATCTGTATATATAGTTATTTATTTATTTATTTACCTGTTTATTTATTTATCGCTTTATCTACTTATCTATTCCTGATTATTTCTATATAAACGCATATACATGTATACATGCATATGTATGTATACATGCATATGTATGTGTATATATATATGTGTGTATACAAATATAGATAGATATAGGTACATGTACATATATATATATAGATGTAATACATATGTACATATACACAAATATACTTGCATACATTTATACATCTATACATCTGTAAATCTTTACACCTATACATCTACACATCTACGCATCTACACATACACACATGATATAGACATTTGCAAATATATATATACACAAACATACTGAAGCATAGAAACATAGATGCATAGATACATTTATATTTTATACCTATTTTACTTATTTACTGTCAATTTGACCCCATTGGACTTGCACCTGCCATATGAAGGCTCACGAGTTGTCCCAACTTGAGAAAAGGGAGTTTCGCTTGTGACTGGTTGTAGTGCCCCTACTTGTTGTGTTTACATTGGTAGCGGAGCCTTCTGGTGGGCTTTTGTAAAACACCAGCAAAGATCAGCCATAGCCTGCTGCGTCTGGTCTGTGGATAGGGCCGAAGGCGACGTCGCCGTTGGGGCACTAGAGGGCTTGGATGATGTCAGCTCCGGTGGCTGCCGCTCCTGGGGATACTGCTGACGGGGTTGATGAAGCCAGTGGAGGGTCCACTGTTTCTCAGGATGAACAACCCAGCTCAGGACAGAGGTGGAGCGAAGACGACTGGCGTCTTTGGAATGCTGGTCAGTGGCCGACGAGGGCAATGGCATCACCTACGCCCACCGTGTATGAGGCTTCCGATGGAGCTGAACAACAAGCTGGGACGAGACAGCGAACTTCATGGTGGTCGAGCTCTACGGCAACGACATGGGAGGACCCGTGGACCAGATGGCGAGACCCATGGTCTTCGGGCCGATCATATGAGGTCTTGGATGAGCGAAGTGGGGGCACTGACAAGATAGCGGTGCCAGAGTTTTCAGGAGAAGACGATCGAGATGGGTGCAAGGCCAAGAGCTACTTGCGGAAGGTGCAGGCCTGGAGACGAGTGACACGTCTCAAGCCTCACAAGCAAGCTCTGGTCTTGTACAACGGCTTGTCTGGTACGGCTTGGAGAGACGCCGAGGAGATCGACCTTGCGGCCTTGGACTCCCCCGACGGCGTTGACGTCTTCATGCAGTGGATCACGGAGCACTACCTGGACAAGGAGATCGTGAAGGCCGGCAAGTACATGAGCGACTTCTTCAAGCACTACAAGCGTGGCCATGCTCAGGATATCCGGGACTTCGACATGGAGTTCGACAGGCACATCAGCAAGTTGAAGGAAGTTGGATGCGTGCTGCCAAGCGTATGTTGCGCTTGGTGGTACATCGACAAGTTGAGGATGGACAATGCTGCGGAGCTCAACCTTCTCTCCTCTGTGGGGAACCAGTACGAGCTGATCCGCCTCCAGGAGGCAGCAGTGGTTCAAGACCGGATGAACCGAAGGATCTGGGAACAGCGGAAGGTCGACACCAAGAAGAACCAGGTCTATGTGGCTGAGATCGAGGACACCCCGGACGATGAAGAGGACCCGGAAGACCTCGAGCTCTACGACCTTGAGGAGACTACGGAGGTTGACGATGACGAGACTCATGAGGCGTACGTCGCTTTTCAGAATGCCAAGGCAAAGTACAGTAGCATGCTCAAAGCCAGGGGCACCACCAGCCCACAGTCTCGTGAGGAGTCTCTGCAGAAAGCGAAGGCACGTTCTTACTGCAGTGCCTGCGGCAAGAAGGGGCACTGGCATAAGGACCCCATCTGTCCGAAGAACAAGCAGACATCAACGACTGCACCGCACACCACCCACATCGCCTACTACACCAATGGTCAGATGGCCGACCTGGAGGTGATTGTTGACTGCGCTTGCAGCCGAACACTGGCTGGACCGGAGTGGGTGAAGGCCTACATGAAGAAGGCCGATCAGTGCGGTGTGCCGTACTTTGTCATGCGCCAGAACGAGACCTTCAAGTTTGGGGGCCCCAAGGTTTACCCTTCGACCAGGGCGATGGTTTGCTTTCTTTGCCTTCAGGGCAAATGGTTTGTGGTGAAAGTCGCCATTGTGGCAACCCACGTGCCGCTCTTGCTGAGCCGCCCGGTCTTGGCTGCCTTGGGGATGCAGTTCAAGTTGGACACCGATGAGGCCAACTTCACCAGCTTAGATCTTGAGGACGTAGCTTTGAGTTTTACTGCTTCAGGCCATCCTTGCGCTGAAGCTGTTTCCTTTTCTGGCCAGCCACCTGCTTGGCCTGACCTGGTGGACTGGAGTGTGACAGAAATTCACATTCCAGTACGATCTGAGCGCCGTGAAGCATACATGGCGAGTGCAGCTTCAGAGGGTATTGGGATGCTTTTCTATCCAAAGGTGAAATTTCAGGTACAAGAATTTCTATGTAGAGATGTTCTGCCTGTTGAAACTTTCATGCATTGGTGGAATGGTCAACCGCCTTCTCGTGACTTTTGGATTGAGACCGAAGAGTACATGTACCGCATCCATGTCACACCACGGAGGACACTTTTTGACCCCTCTAATTGGCAAACATCTCAAACCGAACTTCGAGATCTCTTGTTGCAAAGATTGGGCACCTGCAGAGAATCGACCTGCATACCATGTCATGCAAGATGCCATCACATAGTGGTCGAACATTCTTGGAAAGAAGATCATGGACCACGAGCTGAATTTCTTTGGATTGGCCGCAGCCGTTTTCAACGAAACGCTCAAGCCGCCCCACGCTCCTTGTCTTCTACGGCCCATGTCCACGAGGGCAACGACTACCTCGCTATGGAAGATGAAGCGAGAGGAGTTGGTGGCGTCTCTCGAGAGGCTGGGGGTCTCGGTGAGGGCAGAATGGACAGTGCCCGAACTGAGGGCAACACTGATCGAACAGCAAGAGACCCACGGGACGCCCAATCCGAAGGTGAAGCGCCTCACCCGGCTTACTTTGGACGAGCTGAAGGACAAGTGCATGGCCGAAGGGATTGTCATGCCAGACAGCAAGCCGACCCGGGGGCTACTGATGAAGCTCTTGAGGGAGAACACACCCCCGACCGGGGACGAGGTGGTCTGCTTCGGCATGTACAAGGGCTACCTCTACAAGGAGGTCAACGAGAAGTACTTGGAGTGGGCGATGCAAGAGGTGGCTGCCAATCCTCAGCACTCCTTGGATTTGGCACGCCTGGCCAGGTGGGCACAAGCCCGCTCCACTACGCCTGGAACTGGTTCAAGGCCATCGGCACCCGAGGTGGGAGCAGTTGTGCCGCTGCCCAAGGCAGCATACCCGGTGCCGAAGGTCAACATGCCGATGAGAGAGGAGACGTCGTCGAAACAGTCAAGGACTTCAAGGACGAGACCCTTGGAGATGGAGGAATCGAGCGAGTTCTCGGAGGTGGAATGGGCGACGGAAGATCGCATCAAGGACATGGAGGCGAGGTTGGCGATCCTACGACAGATCAAGGAGACCGAGGACAAGCAGGAGGCCAAGGCCAAGGCAGCCCCTCCAAAAGCAAACTGAAGAAGAAGGCCTACTGGCAGAAGGTTGATGAGCTGAGGGAGATGAGGAGATCGATGAGACACGAAGCGCTTTGGGTGGCTACCAACGACTCTGCAGAGGAGGACCTCCCGGAGAAGGACATCGTCGAGCTCTTTGACCCGGACACCATCGAGGCTGACGAGTATGACATCAACAACGACGGCTTGCCCAAGGTGAACCTCAACTACCCCTCGGACTATGACTTGGTCCGCAACTTGCCGGCCAAGAGGATGAAGAGGGCATCACGGAAAAGGGTCACGGGGTGGGCTCAACGAGCTTTGACTTGCCTGTGTACCACCTTGGTGGCATTGGCATCTCCAGTGGCCGAAGAGCTCAAGGAAGTGGTGGTGGAGCCACTACACGATGCCTATCTGGCTGTCTCTGGCCATCGACCGCAAGAGGAGACGGTCTCCTTGCTGGAACTCTTTGCGGGGTCGGCCCATTTGACGGGCTACTTCGCAGCCAAAGGACACAATGTCCTGGAGCCGCGAGACATCGTCTACGGACACGATCTGTTCGACAGGCGCCAGCAAGTGTCTGTCCTGGAGGACATCCAGAGGATGAAGCCCCGACTTCTTTGGGTGGCTTTACCTTGCACAAAATGGTCACCTTGGCAACGATTGAACTATGCCCATCGGCGACAACAACTTCGGCGTGAACGAGCCAAACAACGGAAGCTTATGAAGTTCACCCTGGACTGCGCTTGGGAACAGCTTGATGCCGGTCGTGAGGTTGCTTTTGAACACCCTCGCGACTCTGGGATGTGGGAGGATTCAGCTTTGGAACCTCTCATCAATTCACCTTTGATGTCCCAGGCCACCTTCGACATGTGTCGCTATAACCTGAGGGCCGTCACGGATGGCGGTAGGCTCAGGAAGCCTACTAGGGTGGTGGCATCGAATCGTCTGCTGTTGGACGGTTTACGTCTAACCTGTGGTGGTGGCCATGAACATACCGCCACACAAGGAAGAAACACCAGACCTGCTGGAGTCTACACCAAGGAATTTTGCAGGGCCATCTTCAAGGGCTATGAGAAGATGACACACTCTCTTTGGTATCATCGTGAGGAGCAAACTTGGGAAGCTATGCCTGTGGGGACTACTTCGTCTACATCTTCCGCATCGAGGAGTCCTCCCGCGCCACATCAAAGTCACGTTCGAGATGCCCAAGTTCCACCTCGTTCTGGAGACCAACGACGTGCCGATCACCAACCTGATTCTGATCAACAACCTGGTGCTGCTCTACCTGGAAAAGAAGGAGCTGCAGGAATACATCTGCCCAGCAGCGTGCCCAACCACATTGCGAAGGCTCTCAAGAGGATCCACCAAAACTTGGGACACCCTTCCAACGCCGACTTGAGTAGACATCTACGTCTTGCCGGTGCTGGAGATCTAGCAGTGAAGGCAGCACAGGCCATCAAATGTGAGACCTGTTCTCGGCTGACTGGCCCCGGCACTCGACGCCCTGGCCGTGTGGTACGCCCATTGGACTTCAACCAAGAGGTATGTGTGGACACCATCGCCCTCTACGACGTGGACGGGGGCAAGATCGAGGCCATCTCCATTTTGGACGTGGCCACCGGCTATCACTTGGTTTGTAGAATCCGCGGACGCAAGTCAGCTGACCTGCTCCAAGACTTCATGGACCATTGGGTCCAATGGGCGGGCCCACCTTTACAGGTGACTTGTGATGAAGAACGAGGCCTGATGAAAGAGTTCACTGACGGCCTCGACATGCTGGGGATCCGATCAAGGTACACTGCAGGACAAGCTCATTGGCAAAATGGGGCTGTCGAGAGACAGAATCAGTGGTTCCGGGCTATATGGGAACGAGCGGTTGCACATTCCCAAACAAAATCCGAGGAGGTTGACTATGCACTCGCGATGACCTGCGCAGCCAAGAACAACTTGCGCCGCCACCATGGATACTCTCCGGCACAATGGCTCTTCGGCTCAGAACCACGTACTGGGGATGCCATGCTGGATGAGAATGAAAAGCTATTTCAGCTCGAAGAACTACGCACAGAAGATGACCTCTGGCGTCGCAAACAACAGATTCGCTATGCTGCCCGCATAGCCTTCTTGGAGTCACAAGCCGATGCTGCAACCAAACGAGCTCTACTTGGACGCTCTCGAGTATATCCTGGGCCTTTCTCGGTGGGCGACTATGTGTACGTCTTCAGGGTCAACAAGACGGCTGGAGGTAAAGCTCGACAACGGCAGAATGTAGGTGAATGGATCGGGCCGGGTGTGGTCATTGGAAAAGAAGGTGAATCCTATTGGATCTCACGTGGGGGCCGTTGTGTCCTCTGTGCAGGCGAACATCTACGTCCTGCTGAGTCTGAGGAGCTTGGCCAGGCCTTTCAGACTCAAGCTCTCAAGGATGACCTGATGCGGGTGGTCCAGAACCTCAAGGACGAAGACAATGATGAGGTCTTCGCCGATGCGACTGACCCTCCCCCGCTCAACAAAAGGGCGGTTGAAACACAACTGGTTCCAGAGCGTCGGGTCACAACCAAAGGGACGGTGAGAATGCTGAAGAGGCCAGTTCCTCAACCTAGTGATGACCAACCCGGCCGCATATCACCTGCTCAACAAAATGCACAAGATCTTGAAGCTATCCCCGAACGTGATGTCGAGGACGCGCTGGATGATGCTGTGAACCAGGCCTTTGTGGTCGAACGCCGAGCTCCTCGAAGCACCATCAAGCAGCTCGACAAGGAAGTCAAGTGGGAAGAAATCCCAGAAGATGAGAAGTACCTCTATCTCGAGGCTGAGAAAAAACAATGGGATGAACACCTCCGCTATGAGGCAGTTCGGGTACATCCTCCTGAAGATGCTGGTCTTCTCCGAGCCAAGGTCCCCGCCAACAGGATCTTGAAAGCTCGTTTTGCTTACAGAGACAAGAATGTAGCAAAACGCCGGGAGGACCCAACCATACCAGCAAAAGCAAAAGCCAGACTATGCATTGGAGGTCATATGGACCCTGACCTGCAGAAAGGCGAGATCAACACTGAGGCCCCTACGGCTTCCAAGACATCGATGTTCACATTGCTTTTCTTGGCCGCCCAATTTGGCTGGCGACTTGCTGCTGGAGATGTGGAGGCTGCTTTCCTCAACGGCATTGAGTCCAAGCGCAACTTGTACTTTGAGCCTCCCAAACGCGGGCTCCCTGGAGTCGAACCAGGCTCCTTGGTGGAAATCGTGAAAGGGGTCTGCGGCCTCTCGAACAGTCCGAGGCTTTGGTGGGACAAGCTGGCTGGGGAGCTGAAGAATCTCGACATCATTGTCAACGGCATCCAGCTCCGCTTGGCACACCATGATTTTGACCCATGTCTTTTTCTTTTGCAAGAACGGGACGATCCCAACAAATTACGTGGCGCCTTGATCACCCACGTGGACGACCTGCTGATCGCCGCGCCACCTGGTGAGATACAACAACTGATGAAGGGCCTCTCAGCGATCTTTCCCATCGCTGAGTGGGAGCAGGGCAACTTCGAGTACACGGGCTCTACGATCACCCAGTATGACGACGTGATTGAGGTGCACCAGAAGTCGTACATTAACTCCCGCTTGGAGACTGTCGAGTTCCCGGCTGTGTACAACCTCGACGACCCGGCAGATGAGGTCACCAAGCAGGATAACATGAGCACTGTGGGGGCTTTGTCGTGGCTGGCATCACAAAGCCGACCTGACCTCCAAGCTGGTGTATCACTTGCACAACGAAAACAAAAGTCTCCAACCTACGGAGATGTGAAGGAGACAAACCGTGTGGTCAAGATGGCCCAAGCTGGCAAGGATGAGCCCTTGCGGTTCACCCGGCTTACGGATGACCCTAGCAAGCTGTTGCTTCTGGTATATCACGACGCAGCCTGGGCCAACGTGCAACCTGACCCCGTCGTTGAACCTCATGAAGCAGATGATGCACAAGGACAAGGGGTCTATTCCCAACTTGGCCACGTGATGTTGATGACAACACGGGATGCTCTTGAAGGAGCTCGTTGCCCGTCTATGGTCGTTGGATGGAAGTCCCAGGCCTGCCCCCGGGTGTGCCGCAGCACCTTCGCAGCTGAAACAATGGCGGCCCTGGGTGGATGGGAAGATGCTCTGGCATTCAGAGCCTATGTGGCCGGGGCTCTCCGACCAGGCGTGGCCACCACCCGTGAGGAGATGTCCAGAGACCTGTTCCCTATCGTTCTGTGACGGACTGTAAGTCCCTCTACGACAATGTCCACCGTGTCGGTGGCCCTCGTGCTCCCACCGAGAAGCGCCTCCTAGTCGATTTGACTGCTTTGAGGCACATGGTCAACGACGAATACCAGAGGTGGGGCCGAGAACTACCTGGTGCAAAGACCCTTCGTTGGGTGCCAACTAAGTCACAGTTGGCTGACATCCTCACCAAGGTCTTGAACGACGTAAAGCGGTGGTGGTGGAACGTGAGGTGGACGGATCTGCCATTTAGTGCAAGTCCAACAGTATAGTTATGGAGTGTCAATTTGACCCCATTGGACTTGCACCTGCCATATGAAGGCTCACGAGTTGTCCCAACTTGAGAAAAGAGAGTTTCGCTTGTGACTGGTTGTAGTGCCCCTACTTGTTGTGTTTACATTTACTTATTGATTTATATGTTTATTTCTCTTTCTGTTGATTGACTTACTTATTTGCTTATTTGTTTATAGGCATATATCATATATATTCATATATCATTTATGTTTTGTGTGTATATCTGCGCTTTCATGCATGCATGCATGCATGCATGCATGGATGGATGGATGCATGGATGCATGGATGTAGGTATGTTAAATATCATCGGCCATCTCTCCTGGCACCATATATGTACATACAATATTCATCTCCAACCCCCAAGAACATAGTATGATCATGCCAGGCAAGGGTCAAAACAGAACATGTTTGAAACCAACACAAAATCTTTCCCTGGGACCACGATGCCTCGTGGGATCCCTTGAGATTCCAACGAGCCATGCTGGCTGGAAAGGACGGGTGGCCAACAACAAAGGTGCAGCAACCTGTCCAGGACGAAGGCGCATCTATGGTAAAAATTGGTTGCATTCGTTGAAAAAAGTGATTTGCGTGCCAGACGAAGGATGCAATGCTGGTGTTTCACCATTAATTTCAATTCATCAACATTATATAATCGAGATTGCTCACTATTATTCACAACTAATCACCATTAATACTTCATTCTCACTATCACCGTTCTACGGGGCAGTGATCGTGCGACATGACCTCTAGGGCCGATGTTTCTATATAGAACACATATATCACCATGAACAATAATTACATGAAACAATATGTCTGTGAAAATCAGCGTTGGCCCCCCAAATCTAGCAACTTAGTGCAATTTAATAGCGGTTTTGATCTTTGCTGTAAAGCAAATCCAATGACAAATCGACGGCGCTCTAGGCCGCTAGTGTCCGACAAACCCGTACCTACCGACCCCCATCCTCGCAGAAAATACATTCATGCTCACAAATTAGCAACTCTCCCCGTCCAGGTGTGACCCTGGATGCTCTGGTTCAGCCTCTTCACGGGTCATCCTGATCCTATGGCAAGTGTTGACGTGGCACATGAATTTCATTGAAAATGTGGACCGCGCCCCGGCCCGAAATTTACCAAAACCCCATCATTGATTTTCACATGTTCGGTTAACAGGATTTGTTTAAATCAGAAAAAATAGGTTTGGCAAACCCACGCCGGTATTGGAACACTATGGTTCGCAATTCCCTGCTTCACGTATAAACAAGTTTGAACATCTGCACTCCGCGGCCACTGATGTCCAAACATCCCCAAACCCCAAATCACTAAATTCTGTAAAGAGCTGAGGGGCGTGCGGAAGGTGATGGAGACTTGTGTGACTCTGAAAACACTAGACGTCTGAGCCGCAATGATGCCTACCGGGCCTACCGCCATCTGGACATCCTCGTCCACATCCACAAGACGTTTCCGACCCTTTAATACTTCAGCATCAACACAACACCTGCACAAGACAGAATGCGACATGATAGTGACGTTCCCATCAAAACAAATTGCGTACTTTTCATTGTGACACCCATGGTCAGCCAAGTCGGGTTGTGGAACGAGGGAGCGCCCAAACTCACATTTGAAACATCATTAGCTGGCAAACGCGCAAGCACCAGATAGGGAAGGGTGGAGGATCGAAAGGTACGCGTGGGTTGGAACAGGAACTGTTTCGGGAAGGATAATTAAAGGACCGGATAACCCCACATGTCAACTTCTTCCAACAAGCAGCAAAAGAAAGGTAAAGATGGCATGGGGAAAGTAGGAAAGAGAAAAGAGATGGTGAAGGATTGGGGTGGAGTAAGTTGTGTGTGGAAGAGTAAGTGTGGGTAAGTTGTGTGGTGATGAGTTGTGTGTGAGGTGTGTGTGTGTGTGTATGTGTGTGTGCGTGTGTGTGCGTGCAATTGCGTGCAGAAGTTGTGACGGGGAAGGAAGGAAAAACAAAGGAGGTGGTAAAAAGGATCGAGAAGTAAAAACAGTTGTTTGGGAAAAGTTATGTATTCGTCTGTATGTATGTCACCAAGTACCACGCCTGCCACGTGAAACAAAGGTGGATGTCTCAAAGCGCCACGCCTGCCACGCCTGCCACGCCTGCCACGCCAACAGCCGCGGCGCCATTCCCTGCCACTCCGGCCCAAGCGCGCAAACGAAGGTGGATGTCTCAAAGCGCAACGCCTGCCACGCCAACAGCCGCGGCACCATTCCCGGCCACTCCGGCCCAAGCGCGCCACCGGAGCCAGCCCAATGCCATATGTGACACGCCTGCCACGCAAAGTGACCATCCATGTCGCCAAGTGCCACACCTGCCACGTGAAACGAAGGTGGATGTCTCAAAGTGCCACGCCTGCCACGCCAACAGCCGCGGCACCATCCCGGCCACTCCGGCCCAAGTGCACCACCGGAGCCAGCCCAATGCCATACGTGCCACGCCTGCCACACAAAGTGAAGGTCGATGTCACCAAATACCACGCCTGCCACGTGAAACGAAGGTGGATGTCTCAAAGTGCAACGCCTGCCACGCCAACAGCCGCGGCGCCATTCCCGGCCACTCCGGCCCAAGCGCGCCACCGGAGCCAGCCCAATGCCATACGTGCCACGCCTGCCACACAAAGTGAAGGTCGATGTCACCAAGTACCACGCCTGCCACGTGAAACGAAGGTGCCACTCCGGCCCAAGCGCACCACCGGAGCCAGCCCAATGCCATACGTGCCACACCTGCCACGCAAATGTGTGATGACAAGTTGTGTGTGAGCAAGTTGTGTGTGAACAAAGTGTGTGTGAGCAAGTTGTGTGATGACAAGATGTGTGATGACAAGTTGTGTGTGAGCAAGTTGTTTGATGACAAGTTGTGTGGGGGCACGTTGTGTGAGGACAAGTTGTGTGATGACAAGTCTGCCACGTGAAACGAAGGTGGATGTCTCAAAGTGCCACGCCTGCCACGCCAACAGCCGCGGCGCCATTCCCTGCCACTCCGGCCCAAGCGCGCCACCGGAGCCAGCCCAGTGCCATACGTGCCACGCCTGCCACACAAAGTGAGGGTCGATGTCACCAAGTACCACGCCTGCCACGTGAAACGAAGGTGGATGTCTCAAAGTGCAACGCCTGCCACGCCAACAGCCGCGGCACCATTCCCGGCCACTCCGGCCCAAGCGCGCCACCGGAGCCAGCCCAATGCCATACGTGCCACGCCTGCCACGCAAATGTGTGATGACTAGTTGTGTGTGAGCAAGTTGTGTGTGAACAAAGTGTGTGTGAGCAAGTTGTGTGATGACAAGATGTGTGATGACAAGCTGTGTGTGAGCAAGTTGTTTGATGACAAGTTGTGTGTGGGCACGTTGTGTGAGGACAAGTTGTGTGATGACAAGTTGTGTGTGGGCACGTTGTGTGTGATGAGCAAATTGTGTGAGGGAGGCGGAGGTGGAAGGAGAAGGCGGACGGAGGCGGCGGGATACAGAACCAAAAACAAGAACCCCACACAAACATGTGGGGAAAAAAGGAAAGGATAGGAGACACGAGGGCGAGAACACACGAACTTGGCAAACATTGGCAAACCTTTTTAAGCCGCAGCAAAATTTGGACGCCGGCGTCGGCTGCTGTAGAAAAAACGATTGCAAGACTGGTCGTGCTCATGGGGTGATACACCACGAAAGAACAAAACATTTAGTTTTGAAATACGGGACGTCGGTTTTCGACGTCCATCAGCAGCCAAAACCCCAAGGTGGAGAGATTACTGTTCTCAATATAGGATGTCGTATGTCGATGTATGTCGGGCATGTTACGTTGAAAAACGTTGAGAGCCTTGGCCTTCGGTTGACGTGGGGATCAGCACCAACGTTCTTAATAGGACGGGTGACGTCGTGGAGTTTACGTTGAAGGTCTTGGCTCGGGGTGAGGATCAGTGGTAATGTCGGACATGTTCCTTTCTAATATCGTTTTCACTGGCATGAACGGCCGTTGATTAGTCGGTGTGTGCGCAGGGGCATGTGGCTGAGTGTTGGGTGGGGGCGGGGAGGCATCCCCATCAACATCTGCCGCGCGTGTCAGGGAGGCGACGTATGCCCGCTGCGACGCGCAAGGTGAGCAAGGCTGACCACCGGGCTGCCACTGCCCAGGCTGATGAGGCAGCGGCCCGCAAAGGGAGGGGCGCAGCTCGCGCGCGCGGGAGCGGGCCAGAGCACAGAGCACGGATGAGGGCAGCACCTTCAGGGCTCCATCTGCCACCAAGTTCGACGGCCAGGACAAGCCAGCGAAACCTGTGGCTATGCACAAACTCGAGACAGGTACGATGATGTACGATGCTTGCGATGCTTGCGCATCCGCGCGTGGGTCAGCGCGGCCCCTTGCTCAGCGCCGCGGTGGAGCTAGGGTCGATGGAGCTGGGTTCCACCATGGATGGGCAGCCGGGCGCGACCACCTCCAAGCGCCGATCGCAGGGGCGGCACAGGCAAGTTCAAGTCACGGACGCCGGCTTCTCGGCAGACTCGAGCTGCAGCGCGTTCGAAGGCGCCAGCACGGGCACGCAGCGCGCCGGAGCGTGAACACGCAGACCGGTGGTCCCCGTGCCACACCGCGCCTCAGTAATGAGCAGAGGCAAGCGGAGCCGGCGCAACAAGAGCAAGCGGAAGAAGTGAGGGGGGATGTAAAATGATGTAAATTCCGGGTGGGTAGCGGTAAGGGTGACCGTTAAGCACCGGGCAGCAGAGGCCACAGTAGAGGGGGTGCAACAGCAGGCGGGTGCGGCGGGGTTTGTGATGGCACATCCGATGTCAAGACTCCGTGCAGCCCCGGGACGCGCTCGTCGGCACAGCGGTCATGCAGTTGGGCATCGGTTTCAGGGGCCTAGGGGGCACGGCATGTCGAGCACGGAGGGTTCGAGGAGTGGGCGCGGAGGTAGGTTGACAGCTGTGTTCTTGGGTTTGGTCGCGGCAACTCCGTTTTTGATACAATAGGTTCCGCAGCACTATGTTTCCCGCAGTTGGATTCCACATTTCCTTTTTCTTCCATGGACGCCGCAATGCTGAACACCACCCATGCGAATTCTTTTCTAGACGTAGGGACATCAGGACGAAGTTGCGCAGATAAAGTGACGTGATACAGACCAAAGCAGTGCGGTTTCATATGGTTTCATATTCGATTGTTTTTCTTTTTGCGTTTGTATTGGGTCGTCTTCGGAAAATCTAAACCAGCGTAAACAACACGGTGATCAGAACCCAGATCCAATTTGCTTGTAGCATAGGATGTCGACAACGTGAAAAGTCGCGGAACACAAAATGATTTTTTTTTCTGGTGATACCGTCGCGCTACGAAAATTCCATTTGGCGCCCACGTCCACATCGTCATTGCCACTAATACTTTGTGAGTGAAGACCGGTACAAAGATCTGTCAACGCCTTGCCACGAATATCAACATGCAATTGGATATCGGAATCTCCTCCAAGCACTATTTGCTTATGTTTGCTTACCCATCAACAATGAGATGAAATTTGTCATATTTTTTTGAAAATCAAAAAACGATACCCGTGCGCAACATTGCGCAACTGCACATCAAGATCCAAAACCCTGCCTCATTGAGACAATTAACCATATTACCATCGATGTATGCGAAGAAGCAAGCGTGGCCACCACCATGGAAGAACCATGAAACCACACCCTTGTTTGTTATGAAAAACATTTGACAAAATTCACTTTTCGGCTTTGTTTGCGGCACTCCACCGACAAGGACTTCCGGAAAAATATATTCAGTTATTACTTTAATTTTACGTTTCTCAATTTGGAAGTGTGGAAGGAAGCGACACCTTTCCACTCAATCGGGGAGTCAAACGGGTTATGTTCTCAGCCCTGCCTTATGCTTTGGACGCTACTATTTGCAGATGATTTCTTGGTTCGTCTAAAACATGAAGGTGAACTAGTGTGCATGCTGCAAGTTTTGTGCGCCGAGCTCAGCACAGTCGGAGTAGAATTATTTTTGTGCCAAAACGTAAACGTTCCCCACACAGGAGATGAATGTTCCAGATGTGGTCATTCCACGGTGAACCTATTGATGCGACGAAAGCCAATTGCATCCACAAATGCCTCGGAAGAAAATACAATGGTGATTTGTCGATTTCCGCAAGCCCTCCTAGGTACCTCCTTCATAGGGAACGAAATTGTGGTTCCTGGAACCACTGGGTCCAGGGTTCTGGCGAGGAACCAGGGCACCCATCGCGGTTCCAGCGAAAGTAACAAATGAATACAAATTAAAGGACCGGATAACCCCACAAGACAACTTCTGCCAATAAGGAAAGACAAAGGAGGTGGTGGAGGATCGAGAAGTAAAACAAAGTTGTGTGTGTGACAAAGTTGTATGTGAAAGATGGTGTGTGACAAAGACAGATGGTGTGTGTGACAAAGTTGTGTGTGACAAAGTTGTGTGTGAAAGATGGTGTGTCAAAGATGGTGGGTGACAAAGTTGTGCGTCAAAGATGGTGTGTGGCAAAGTGGTGTGTGAAAGATGGTGTGGCGGAAGATGGTGTGCGACAAAGCTGTGCGTGAAAGATGGTGTGGTGAAAGAATGTGTGCGACAAAGTTGTGTGTGAAAGATGGTGTGGTGAAAGATGGTGTGTGACAAAGTGGTGTGTGAAGAATGGTGTGTGACAAAGTGGTGTGGGACAAAAGTGGGGTGTGAAAGATTGTGTGTGACAAAGTGGTGTGTGAAAGATGGTGTGTCAAGGATGGTGTGTGAAAGATGGCGTGTGACAAAGTGGTGTGTGACAAAGTTGTGTGTGAAAGATGGTGTGTGGCAAAGCGGTGTGTGAAAGAGGGTGTGTGGAAGATGTTGCATGACGAAGATGGTGTGCGAAAGAGTCTTGAAAGCGGGTGTATCAAAGATGGTGTGTGAAAGATGGTGTGTGACAGAGTGTGTGACAGAGTGCGCGACAGAGTGCGCGACGGAGTGTGTGAAAGATGGTGCGTGACAAAGATGGCGTGTGACACCACAGCCAGCCCAATGCAATAAGGGCCACGCCTGCCACGCAAAACGAAGGTGGATGTCTCCAAGTGCCACGCCTGCCACGTGAAACCAAGGTGGATGTCACCAAGTGCCACGCCTGCCACGTGAAACGAACGTGGATGTCACCAAGTGCCACGCCTGCCACGCAAAGTGCCATGAGTGCCACGCCTGCCACGCAAAACGACCGTGGATGTGAGATTGTGCCACGCTTGCCACGTGAAACGAACGTGGATGTCACCAAGTGCCACGCCTGCCACGCAAAGTGTGTGAGAAAGTTGTGTGTGAAAGATGGTATGTGACAAAGGTCGGTATGAAAGATAGTGCGTGACAAAGATGGGTGTGAAAGATGGTGTGTGACAAAGTTGTGTGTGAAAGATGGTATGTGACAAAGATGGTATGTGACAGATGGTGTGTGAAAGATGGGGTGTGTGAAAAATGGTGTGTCAGAAAGTTGTATGTGAAAGACGGCGCGCGACAAAGACAGATGGCGCGCGCGATCTGTCACATGCCATCTTTGACACACCATCTTTCACACACCATCTGTCACATACCATCTTTGTCACATACAATCTTTCACATACAACTTTGTCACACACCATCACGCACCATCTTTCACACCAATCTTTGTCACATACCATTTTTCACATACAACTTTCTGACACACCATCTTTCACACACCATCTGTCACATACCATTCTTGTCACACACCATCTTTTACATACAACTTTGTCACATACCATCTTTCACACACCATTTTTCACACCCATCTTTGTCACACACAACTTTGTCACACACACCATCTGTCTTTGTCACACGCCATCTTTCACATACAACTTTCTGACACACCATTTTTCACACACCATCTGTCACTTTCTGGCACACCATTTTTCACACACCATCTGTCACATACCATCTTTGTCACATACCATCTTTCACACACAACTTTGTCACGCGCCCACCCTTCACCACGCCATCTTTCACACACAACTGTGTGTGGGGGGGTGGTATGTGACAAACATGGGTGTGAAAAATGGTGTGTGAAACATGGTATGTGACAAAGTTGTATGTGAAAGATGGTATGTGACAAAGATGGTATGTGACAGATGGTGTGTGAAAGATGGTGTGTCAGAAAGTTTGGCAAAGATGGTGTGTGACAGGCGGGAGGCGGGAGGCGGGAGGGAGGCGACCCGGGATACAGAATCAAAAACAAGAACCCCACACAAAGTTGTGGGGAATGACATACATTAAAAAACGTCTGTCAAAAGGTATGGTACAATCCCCGATATGAACTTTACGGTTTAATGTCACCCAATGCAACCCGACACCAATAAAATGAGCATATTACTAGTATGTTCCAGCTAGCCCCACTTGCAATCATCGGTCTTATTATCAGAATGTTTTATCCGGCTTCATCATGGCCTGCAAATGCCTGCCAGCTAAAAACGAAGAACAACAAAATACTTGCAAATTGCAATTGTTCCCTTTTGGTCGAGGTACATTTTTTTATTTTCATTTGGTGTCACGTGGCGTGTTTGGGTTCAGTATCGAGCGCATTTGGCTTGTATTAATTAATTTCAACCAGTATCGCGAAACGTTGAAAAACACACAAATGTCTATCAAGCTACACTTGCATTTGTTTGATGCAATTGTGACCCTTACATACCCCTACTATGCTGTTCGGTTTGGTCCCCCGACCTGAATCAACTGGATGAAACACAACGTCGTATGATTCGGTCTTTAGTTGGCGGGGTCCGTTTGCAGGATGAACTTTGGAAAGGTACGATGATTCGTATGAACGAGCGTGCGCGACCAGCTCTACACTGTCAGGGCGTCGAAAGCTGGAAACATCGATTTGCACATCAGCCATTTGCATTCACCACAGAAGTTGCTGGATCATCTCGTTGGCCAAAGCCCGAAATCATGCAATGCCTCTTTCAGAATTGGCAGGACAATTTTCCACAACAACCAGTTCGAAGCAAAGGACGTCCTCCGAAAAGATAGGACGACCATTTAAAAAATTTTTTCCACAAATATTTTCCAATCCGTCGTAGCTGGGTTGACGCAGCCGGGCAGCATGACTGCGTTACGAAATGCGATCTGTTGGTACGGTTTGTGTATGGGAATTTAAACAAAGTTACACATCTAATCGGTGTGGTTAGCCCATGTCCCTCACGGACCGTAGTTGCGAACTCGAACGGGCGCAAAGTCAGAACAGGCGTTGGCTAATCCCTTCCTCCTATTATCAAACGTCCCCCAAATACTACTAGACGACGGATGGCCCGAGAGCGTAGAGGAGCAGGGTCTTCTCTTGTTAGTATGGAGACACCATATTACAAAACAATATGTTAAAGATGTGTTATAGGCAGTCGAGAAGAGGAGTATCAAGACAATTATAGCACAAGTACAAGACAATAGTTTGCATTGCAAACACTTTTGCACACAGAAGTTTTTACAAATTTACACAGAGAACCCTTAGCCTTACACAGAGAAACTTTTACACACAGACACTTTTACACACAAACACTTTTACACACAAACACTTTTACACACAGACGTTTTTACACACACAAGTTTTTACACACAGGCGTTTTTACATACAGACAGTTTTACACACAGACGTTTTTACACACTGTTGTTTTTTTACACAGACGTTTCGACACA